GGAGCACAACAGACACTAGTATGGCAATATGTAAATCAATGGATGTGTAACTGATGTGATTCTGCAATCTGTGTATGGGGTGAAGGTGGGAGTTCATAACCCACTTGAATCAAAGTGTGGAATATGATATGTCAAGAAATTTGTAATGTTTTGAACAACCAACAATAAAAAATTTAAAAAAAAAAAAACTTACAGGAATTAAAAAAAAAAAAAGAAAAGGCTGGCATTAGAGTCACTGAGATTGGCAACACAATCACTCCTCCTCCCCATCAAATTATAGAAATTATCTCTAGCTAACTCCACACCCTTTTCCTGTCAGAATAGATATTAAAAATCAACATTCTGTACACTGTTTCTTTTGGCCTTGGACACAGGGAATTGGAAAGATGCTAGTGAATATTTCACAGTAAAAATTCAAAAGCAGGCTCTGCAGTCGACTGCCTTTGTACCCAACCTGTATTTAAAATTCATTTTTGGTGTCTTCATGCTGTTGCTCTGCAACCCACAACTCTGATGTGCAATTTGCTCCAGTGATCTTGTGTGCCCCATCTTGTCCCTAGACTTCACTTGTGGGTACATCCTATAGCTGCATCTACAGAAGGCTCTGATGTCAAACTTCTGTAAAACCAAGCCTTGTGTCTGCTATTCAAACATATTCGTCAGTCATCTTCAATAACAGAAAGTTAGACTCACCATAAAGCCTGAATTTCAACCAATTTTGCATGGCATTTATCCCCTGCTAACATGCTATATAACATATTTACTTATGTTTGTCATTATTGCCTGCTTCCTTCCACCACTGTGCACGCTCCAGTGGGCAAGGATCTTAGTCTTTTGTGTTCCTTTGTGTATTATAAGCACTTAGAACTGTACTCAGCACTCAATAAGCACTTGCTCAGTGGATGACCTGAGCAGCATGGACACAATGAACATATGCTCAGGATGGGTGGCAGGAAACAAAAGCAGTCTTGCTTCTTAGAAGTTTGTCCCATGAGCAGAAGGCAAAGCTTTGCACTCAAAGTCAACACTCAACTCACTGCTTATTGACAGTTGTAGTAGGTTGATTGACTAAGAAAAGTAAACTTGGAAGCAAAAAAAAAAAATTAATTTTGGTGTAGATTATCTCAATTTATCTGTTTGTCTGAATCTACTTCATTAATCCATTCTCATGAATGACAGAGAAAAGACTGGTGGTTTAGAGTTGCTTTTCCTTGAACACATTCTGCATTTTCCGAAGCAGTAAATGAAATGTGGCCAAATGCTGCACTGCCTCACCTGCTGCACCTGAATTCCACATTGCCAGGGCCAAAGGCATTTCCAAGAATACCTGTCATATGTTAAGATGCTCTCTATTTTTGCCAGCGTCGCTGCAGATTCAGGTCTGCATTAGCAAGCAGGGACATATGTACTGAGTACTTACCCGAGTACCCAAAAACTGACAAAGGCCTTATTATTTTTATTCCAGGTGTGTTGGTAGGAACAAGAATCATGCTGTGCTGTTTGTGCCTAGTCAAAAGAAAAATAATGTTAGGAAAAGCTTGCTAAGAGGAGAAATGAAATAGACATTAGGCAGAGTTGAAACTGTCTTGTTATCACAATCACATAAGCAAGCAATAGTGATTGGAATGGGAACTGTGTAAAAGACACACCAGCACAGTCTGATGCAGGCTATGATCTGGAACAACAACTACAAAAAAAGATTCGAAAATAGTGAAATTTGTTTGATTGAGGGTTATTATGGTTTGGATCTTAAATGTTCCTCAAAATTCATGTATTAAAGGCTTGATCTCCAGATGATGGAGTTATGGGAGCTGATTGAAAATTTCAGAAGGGGGCCTAGTTGGAGGAAGTAGGTCATGGGGGTGTGCCCTTCAAAGATATATTGGGATTCTGGATGTTCCTCTCTTTCTCTTCTTTCTGCCTACCATGAGATGAATGGTTTTGCTCTACCATGCATACTTAGCACCATGATGTTCTGCCTCACTGCAGCCCAAAGTGTTGAGCCAATGACCTTGGACTGAAACCTTTGAAACTATGAGCTAAAATAAACCTTTCCTCCTTTAAGTTGATTTATCTGAGATATTTTGTTACAGCCATAGAAATCTAATTAATATAGGGTTTTATGTTGTTGTTCAACAATTGTAACTGGGAAACCGATATGAAAAATTAAACATTTCAAGACTACAGCCTTTGATTATGACATCTGATCACTTCAATAATACAGACAGTTCTGAAAAATTCTATCTCTAATCATCTGATCCTAACAGCTTTCATGACTAAGTAACACTCTTGAATACCAGAAATTCCACAGTGAAGAATGTACCACAACACTCCCCAAAATATTTTTCAAATATGTCTTTTGGCAAAATACTTGTGAAATACAAACAATGAAATTTAATCTCATAATATATTTTATATTATTATGATTTGTAAGTCCAGTGTTATATTTTAAGTAAAATAAATGAATAGCAAGATTGACTTTTATTCCTATATATATTTTTCAATCAGTATTATTTTATTACCTGGACTGTGAAGTAGCTTTACTTCTTCCCAAAAGAATTAAAATTTTACACCTGGGATTCCCAGCTCCTAAAACCAGGGAGGAAATGATCAGAACTCTTTATAAAAGAAAATTTCTTATTTGGCGTTTTATCCTAAAGGTTCTAATACTCCTAAAGTTTATTTCTGGCAAAAACAAAAGGGAGAAAATCTTTTATTCATTAAAATAATAATGCTTTACACAACCCTGTTTGTCACCCAAGAGAAACAACTGAGCAAGTACTAGACTGGACTCCATCAATGAATGCTGCTGCACTAAACTAACTGAGAGTCAAAAAAGCAAGCAACAGCTGCCACCCTTGAGGCAGCCCTCCTATTCCCACCACTTCAGACACAAGCATGCTACAAAGGTGTGAAATGTCATGCCTGATATAACTGTATGTCATATATAATACAAATTTTATATCTAACATAATATTTTATATGTTCATATATAAGAGACACTGATCCAACCTTCAGAAAGCCTGGGTTCTCATTTATTAATTTGTTAAGGGTCAAAATTTGGCAATGTAAAATTATTCCTATTTTAATACTTAATATTATTTTATCACATATTTCAGGGGGTTTGAGAATTCCCCACTGGTCTTGCAAAAAGCATATTTCATGTTTACCAGTAAATCTAAGCACCTGGTTCCTCAGGGAAACTACTGAACTGGCCTTCCAGCAACCATGCCACACACACACACACACACACACACACACACACACACAAACTGGATCCAGACTAAGTTAAACATGTCTATACAAAGTCTCAAACAAATTATCAGATTCTATTTTCTAATTTTTTATAAAAAGAGGTTTTGACATATTTGAAATCATATAAAGATATGGTGAGAAATGGAATTATGTCAAACAATTGAATAATACCGTATAATTTCAGGAGAGATGCAAGGGTGGCTTATAGATTAATAGACTTAAAGGCACTATCAACCAACTGCAATTTTTAGACTTTACAGGGATCCCAACTGGATCAAATCAAATAAAAAGTATTAATGGCACTCATGAAACAATAAAAATTTGAACACTTATTGGATGTAATAGTATCAAGAAATTTAGGTTAGTAATAATATTGTTATATCATAAAGGAGCTCTTATTGAGATATGTACTAAAATATTCGTGAAAGAAATGATGTGATATGTGGGATTTATTTCAAAATAATATGGGGAGAGGAAGAAATGGGAGCAGGAATAAAGAAAGATTGGCCATGAGTTGAAAATTATTGAATCTCAAAACTGTTCAGAGAATTCCTAGGGAACTTCAATGTGCAGTAGGGACAGGAAGGAGAAACACGGGTGGTATACTGAAATGTCTGGAAATGACTCACATACCAGCAGGAGCAGTAAGGAAGGTGGCACCCAGAGGAAAATGCTGCTTTGCCCCTGAAGATCCAGAAGAGGTTGGGAGGAGGACAGAGTGCAGCAAAACAGTACTAGGAGAAAGATAACGAGGCGAGAAACAGACACCAAGGCAAGCAGAGGGAAAGAAAGAGTATAAACTGAAGAGTATGGTTAGAGTGAAGCCCACTGCAGACTTTAGCATTTACAATAGACATTTGAAACCTCCTGCAATTTAGTCTCTGGATCTGTGGAAGACACAGATGAATCCAATTCACAACAATTGCTCATATAGAGTTTTCAGTCCAAGGGATGCTAAATAAACAGAGAAAATTACACAATGGAAGCAATGTAAAATTCCCTGAAGTTCAGAATGGTAACTGAGCTGATGGCTTTCTGAAACAAAAAGAGATTTAAGAGAGTAGAAACATGTGTTTGCCTCCCACTGTTCCCAAGATCCCATTGAAAGAAAAATACAAAAGTACAATGAAGACATAACTGACAGAAAAGGAAGAGGAGTCTGTAAAAGCACATGATTGGGGGTGTTGGTGGCTGATGGATAAAGGATTTATTTCAGTCAATGTCTGAGAAATAGGTGGAGGCACGTGGAAAAATGAAATTTGCAGAGAAGTTAATGTCTAGAAAATAATAATAAGAGGCTGAATATAGAGAATGTTCTTTCTGGCCTCAGGGTCAGAAAGTGTGACTCAGAAGTGAGGCTACAAAAGAGTAATAATGAGGGATTCTTAAGAGAGAAACACAGCAGCTGGTGCTTTCATAGGCAGGTATCTGACACTTAGACTGATGGGGAGAAGTATAAATCATGTTACAAGGAAGCTGAATGGAATAATTCTGATCCTGGGTGTTGAGCCCCAAAGCTGGCTTCCCGTCAGCTAGCCCTGATGGAATCACGGCCCTACGCAGCAGTTCTTACAGAATTCTTACTCAGGAAAGATGCAGGGCTGGAAAAGAGTTCTCTGTTCGTAACAAATGAAACTTTAACCAATTACTTTTCCATTCCTTCTAAGTATTAATGGAAAACCAAGGATCTGTTGTATATGTAGAGAACCTGTAGCATTCAAGAAAATGACTGGCCAAAATAAGCTGGAAAACTGACCACAAAGGAATGAAATAAAACAAGAAACAGAGAGAACCTAAGGAGCAAACACAAAACAACAAAACTGAGCTAAACCAAACACAAAACTTCTGGTTAAAGTAACATGAGAGAGCCAAATGTTTTACAGCCATAAAACCAGAAAAACATGCTTCCTGAGAAGAATAACACAAAAATGTTTAAAGATTAGCATATTATTGCTAAACATAAAATTTCATAGAAGCATTAAAAAAATAAATCAAGAAAAATTTCCATAAGTAGAAGAAAAAGCAAGAGACTGAAAATAAGAGAAAAAAGAGATAGCCAAAACATGAAGTACAGCATCAGGGTAAAAATGATGAATGAGAAAGCAAAAACTTTAAAGAGAAAGAACTTTCTGGGAGAAAAATTTCTAAAACTGAAAAAAATGAAGAGTTTTCAAATGGAAAAAGCCATTGATGAACAAGAAATAATCTATCAGATATGTGCTAAGGACATTTCAAAACATAAATGATAAACTAAAAGGTTTCAAAGAGACTAAAACAAGTCACTTGGTATCAGACTTTTCATTAGCCACAAAGGATGCTAGATGAAAGTGAATAATTCAATTTAGAATTCTATACCTATCCAAACTATCAATTTTGATGAAGGCAGAATAAAAACACATTTACTCATGCAAGAGCTGAGAATTATTTTTCCCACAGAGTTAAGAACTAACTCAGGCAAAATGAGGGAAAAAAAAAAAAAAAAAAAAAAAAAAAAAGAAGCCCTAATACCCTAACAGTCCAGTAAAGTAATTCATGAAAACCCCAGGATTACTGCCCTAAACTATGTCTAAAGAATAGTCAGTCCAGGATGGAAAAGACTAACATCTACAAAAGAGAGCTTCCAGAAAAGAAAGTTCAAAGAATTAATGTGGTTGAAATATAAAATGAACTGTAAATGTGAGGAATTTAAGTAATACACAAAATATAAGAAAAGCTAATTTAATTGTCCTTAATGCTAGAATCACTCCCTAGACTGGCCAGGTAATTTATAATATATCAGTTATGGAAAGACACAAAACTCTAACACAATACTTGCATAGCCTTATAAGTTAAGCATTATGTATTGGTTTTTAAAGTTTAGAGTCATCCTGTGGTCAACCATGATTTGTTACAAGACAGAATATAAATATTAGTCATCTTAACACTGTAAAAGTAGAAGCTGTAGCTGATATACAAAAAGGAAGGAAGGGATAAAATGTAGAGAAAGGGGTAAAAGAATCATATCCTTATATTATAAAGTGGAGCATGAAGAGATTCTGTCAAATGAGAATGCAGAAAGAGATTTAAAGATTAAAATCTAAAAACAATTTAAATCCTAATAAATATCTACATTAGTAAAAGGAAGACAGTTACAATACAAATGATCTAAAATTGTCACTATTCAAATTGAAGTGCCAATTATAATGTTTAAAATGAATATATTAGGAGTGAGAAAAGAGCATTTTACCTAGAATTATAGTGGAAATGAGAAAACTAATATTAATGTTCTCCAGGGCATAATACAGGTATGTGGAAGCACAGGAAATAGCATGCTCTTAGTCTCATTTGTTACCATTTCTAATTGGATAATAATAATTCTTTAAATATATTAAAGAAAAAAACTAGCGTACTATTTTGCAAATTAATCAGTAGATCCCAATTAGGAGAAGGAGAGGCTTGCTGAGTGAACTACAATGTTTTCTTTTCCTAATTTTCTTTTAATCCGAACATTTCACGTACTGGTTAAAGAGGAGTAATTTTCTGCAAACGGTGGGGTATTTCCCCACTTCTCTGTGATTAAACACAATTTCAGAAGTCCTATGAGCATTTTGTGCTTGATAAAACATTTAAATTGATCTAAAAAAAAAAAACCCCACTTAAAATAGATTTCACTTGGGCTGGGGCTGGGGCTCAGTGGCAGTGCACTTGCCTGGCATGTGTGAGGCACTGAGTTTGATTCTCAGCACCACATATAAACAAATACAATAAAGGTTTATCAACAACTAAAAAAATTAAAAAAAAAAAAGAATTTCACTTGGGAAAGGGAGGGAAGGGCAAGAAGGCGGTGTGCCTTAAATGGGTGACTCTGCTCACCCCCAGGCTATTGATAGAATAAGGAGACACCTAAACTGATTTTAAGCTTGAATGACAAGATTGCTTTCCTTACAGGCATAGCCATCAGAATTGTATGAACATGAAATCATATGTACATATATGTGATTTTTATCTATTACTAGAAAGGGAGAGGTCTTAATTTACTGAAAAAGGAAATGTAAAAAATAAAATTAGTCAGGCTGGGGTTGTGGCTCAGAGGTAGAGCGCTCGCCTAGCACGTGCAAGGCCCTGGGTTCAATCCTCAACACCACATAAAAATAAATAAAGATATTGTGTCCAACTACAACTAAAAAAATAAATAAACATTAAAAAATTAGTCAAAATATGTCACACTGTAATCAGATAACAAATGAGCTAGGAAAATTTGTCTTATTTTTTCATAAATACTTGACTTATAGTACAGTTTTGTTCATAGTATACGTGAGAAAGAGGGAAAAAAATTCTACACTTCTGGGCATTTG